GTAACATTAATGATGTTACACAGCAGGAATGTAAAACAACAGCATGATGCTTTGGTCACAAATACACGATGTAGTGAGTAATCATCATCTTTGCTTCTGTTCCTGTTTGAACTGTCTGTTAAAGGTGTTTGTGGTCCTGAATTTAAAGAGTGCAGACTGCAGCAGTTTCAGATCCTCTCTCTGATCACCAGGAGAATAAAAACGAGGAGACGACTTCAACATGATTCATCTGCAGCTTTAAACAACTTCCTGATAATAAGACAGTTAATGAAGAATGTTTGATTATATGATTATAATGAGATGACCATGTGTCTTTCACAGAGATTACATTTGTTGTGCAGATGATAAAACAGGTTTTGTCTTGTACAGTTTGTCACTTTAGGCGTGAACAAGCTGTTTTCACACCATTTAAAGCAGAAGTCAGACTGCAGATAAGATCAGCTCAGCTCTGTGCTGTGCTTAAAATAAGCTGCAGAACATGACCCAGCACTGTGTTTAGGCAGCAGCAGCAGGCCACAGCAACCTCACATCACAGACACACACCCAACAACGAGAGTACAACACAGACAGGCTGGGTCATCAGAGTTAACACTTAATCTTAGAGTGTGTCTTATGTTTCCAGTTTTATTTTGATAGTCTTTTGTTCAGTGTCTTCAGTGTGGCTTCCTCCCTGTCCCATTATGTTAGATCTGTTTCAGCTGTGTTTCCCTGCTCTTTCTCATCCCTTAGCCTCTGTGTATTTAGTCCTCTGTCTTCCTCTGCCTGTTGTCGTGTTGTCCTATGTTGCTGCGTGTGGTTTCCTGGGTTCCTGTGTTTCCTCACACCTGGTTTCTTGTTCCTAGTCTCCCAGTTTCTTCGGCCATTTCTCAATTCTCAAGTACGCAAGTCCGTACTCGCGTTCTCGCTAGTCCAGACTCCCCAAGAATGCAGCGTGATCATTCTACAGTTGGAATGGTAGTGTACTGATGACATCACAGGTCTGGAGGTTTTACTGCCACCCCCTCTTAACTTAACACTGATTAATATTTGCAATGGAAATTACACATGACATGAAAAAGTTATACAGGATGAAGTAGTAGTAGTTATTTTAAGCAAAAAAGATCATTTAAAAAAGTATCTTAAGCGCTTTCGCTTTTACATATGCTCATCATCTGTTTCACAATTTCTAATAAGCTTCATACAGGTAAGCACAATCACTACATGACAGAAACGCAAGCTTCATCTCTCTGTTAATAAACATAATACACATGTATGTGTGAATAGAAACACACAGGTGAGATGTTAGAACATTTTTTTTAGGATAGACTCAAACCTACAGCAGACAGCTGCCGGGGTTTGGAAGAGAACCGAACTAATATTTCAAATATAAACAGATCATTGTTGGAGCAGCCTTCAGCATCTCCATGTATCAACATGCTGGTTTTGTTTCCTCCTGAATTAAATATGTTTACTGTTAGATTTAATTCAGACTCAGCTGTTTAAATAAGAACAGCACAATTTAAATTAGGTGAAATATTCAGGTTCAAATATAC